CGCGCCCGCCTCGCCGACTTTACAGCGCAAGCCGCTGCTCTCGCCCAGCCAGCGACAACCACCACCACCACCACCACCACCCCCACTCCCGCCAGCGGCGAGGCAGAAGACACTGGTAGCAGCGGCGAGCTAGCGGAGGACGGTTCCGCGAGCCGATCACCTTCCTTGTCGAGCGGCGCCGTACCGCAGGAAGACGTAGATGTTGACGCTGCAGCGGCCTGCGGCAGCGCTGGTGAGGAAGGTCGGGGGGAGGAGCACGGGGGGGCGGGGGGCAATGCTACGGCTGAGGCGATGGATGGCAATGTTGCTACTAGTGAAGAGGACACCGATGGTTGCGCTGCTGAAGCGGATAGCGGTGCGTTGGACCCCGTTCCGGGAGCAGCGGCGGGACAAGAAGCAGGTGGCGATGCACCCGACGACGACGTCGATGGCGTGCGCGAGGCAAGCGATGAGGGTCCGGCTGTTGTCGACCTCGAGGAGGCGGAACACGACGATGCCCCTCAGGGACGAGAAAGCCTGGGTGTTGAGGGCGGCACGGCAGTAGAACAGGCGGACGGGCCGGAGCGCGCTGTCTAGAGGGGGATTGGGCCTACAGGGAATCAGACATCCAGGGCGGAGGGGTCACTTTCGGAGGAGGGCGGGAATAGATTGGCCTTTTTGGGACGAAGAGGAGGCTGTTACTATCTTTGAACTACGCTTAGGCGAGACGAGGGATGGGCACGATGACAGACGAGATTTTTTTTTTTTTTTCTTGATTTTGTGGTTTTGCCTTCTTTCTGATTTCTATTGGCGACGGGTGTATTACTCTGTCGGAGTTGTTTTGGGTCCCGGCGCGTTAAGTACGGTTTCTTTTTTGTGGTTTCATTTGTGACGGGTACACGGCGTGTTGCACGTCTTGCCCCAAAGTTTATTACTCCCGTCCGTTGTTTTTCTTGTCTATCAGTGAGCTGCGAAAATTTGGGTTCTGATTCATCCGGGAGGCTCTATTCTTACACACTGAAGAGCACGGTATACTTGTATATGATGCATGTATACTAAACCTAACATACATTTTGTCGCCCTACAGTGACATTCATGCGATACCTCCAATATGTTGCGAGGCTCATACACAGTGACTTTCACAGGGTACCTCCTATGTATGCCATGAAAACTGTCGTCAAACATGCGCTGCCGTACAGACGTAATTCAACATCTCTCTTCGATGCTTGCTCTCCTAGACATGTTATCAGTAGAATTATTCCAACAGTTTCCCCGTGACCACGGAAGGAAGCCTTCCGCGCCAGTTGGACCGGTACGGATGATGGAAATACAAGGGCGCCGGAAGTCGGATGCCACCCGCGCCTTCGTCCTCTTGGTTAGGCTGGAAGCATCCGCGCAAAAGTCGATGTTCTGAAAACCGATAGGGTATTAGTTTCTGTCAGGGAATTCTCATGATGTACGTGCATCATGTTCGATTTTGACCCCACAGGTTCTATGCCCCAGGATTTCGACCCCAGGTAGGCCGCATTTATTTCCGCTCTTGCACTTGGTTTTAGAGTTGGCGATCTCAGATTTCTTCTGGTAAATAAAGTGGTTTCCCACGCGCGTTTCACGCAGCGGAGCCAAGTGACGACTACGGTGCGGTAAACAGGCATTTGAGCATTTGAGTGCTGTGTTCCCAAAGTGCCCTTCAGGCTTCCCGTACTACGTACTGTACAGGAGGGTTTGACTAACAAGCACATAAATTAGAATTCGAGGCTCAGGTTAGAACGTACTTGCTTCTAAGAACCTCATACAACATGCATATTCTGCTGTAACCAGACCAACAATTTTACCAGTATTTGTTTTCGGCATGACGTGGCAACTACGCCCCGCTGATTGTCCGCAAGAAGACTCGCGCGCGCCATTCCCAGTGGTGGGCGGCGGGGCACCACCCATCATCTGTGGCCTGGAGAGATATTTTTCTGCAGCTGCTGGCCTGGAGAGAAGCGCAACGAAGGAAACGTACGTAGCAGCCACACAACCAAGACACGACACACCCCGTCATTTTTTTTTTCTACACTGGCGTACCCTGTACTGAATGTTCACTCGTGGTCCTGGGGGGTCCTGAGGGGTCAACGTACAAATAGAAATATCTGAAGAAATCTTGTAGCCTGCTGTCTCTACACTCGCTGTCCAGGGGGATCAGCGTGTAAAGGTGTAAAAGCACCACAAATAAACACATGTATGTGAAGAAACAGTCTCGCCTGCTGTGGACACGTAGTCTACAGCAGCAGTTGTCTACAGCAGTCGATTCAAGAGAGCACGGGCGTCTGAGACACATCCAACAAGAGTCACTAGATTAGTGTCATGATCAATCAGCTCATGATCAGCAGCATCTGAACCCGATCCAAACAGGTTATTTTTCCTTATTAGTTCGGGCATTTGATCATCGGAACATCCTGATCGGATAACCGTCGGAACCATCCGGCCAAACCTGACAGTCCCGGATATTCCCAAAAAACAACTGAAAGGGTGCGGCTGCTCTCTGCTGCACCCATGTTCCGGTATACCACCCAAAGCTGGAGGGTGAAGGCACGTGTGAAGACAACTTCACGAACAAGCACAGCACACCCGCGGTCCATGGAGTCCCTCGAAGTGGGTGACGGGGTCTGGTCTCTTGGCCTAAAGTCGCAACAACATTTGGCCGACCGCTAGAACAAATCCGGTGCAGGTTGGTTGGCGACTGGATCTGCGGGCCATGCCCGACAGCCTTTCAAGTTGGTGGTCTTCACGTAACAGCGGTACCCAGCACAGGCGGGCATGCCACCGAACCTTCCATGTACGTACATACACAGGTGACAAGAGTGGCAAGAGTCAATATTATCGAGCACCCGCCTGTGTGCATCTTCCCCCGCCCTCCCCTCCCACTCTTACCATCTCAGCACTCTCTCGCACATCTCAATCCAGGCGTCGGCGCACGACGACCTGAGGAGAGCGCATCCAACGGAGCTCTGCAAGACAGTACCCTCACCGACCGTGGTGGTCCTGTATCTGAGAGTCAGCATGTCTCCTTCGTCGACGATCTTTATTGCTTCCCTGGCTCTCCTCACCAAGCACGCGGAAGCCGCCGGATGCGATGGACAGTGAGTGTTCCGCCCCCGTATCTTGTTGGCATCATACTTTGCTGCTGCTGCTTGGGGCCGCTGCGCCCGCCGCACACCATGGAAATTCTTTGCTTGCTCAGCAGTGTGGGAAGAGCATCCCCGGCTGACCCATGTGCTCAGCTGGCAGTGATTCGCGGTGTGTGGGGTGCACAACAGCATTGCAGTTTGCCCTATGCAGCAGTAGGGTATTATATTGTAGCATTTGTTCTTTGGCAGTTTCCCGCCCTTTCGATAAAACTGAAAAATGGACGGTAGGCGGTGGCCACTGCTGTGGGATGGGCGAACGATGTGCCAACACCTCTCTTGCCGTAGTTGCACTGAATCAGCGCCAATCTTCGAAAGGTGCGATATAGAGTGCCAGCCTATGATGGCTCACAGTCATTGGTAACCCCTGCCATTTCGACAAACAAAGAAGCGAGATGCCGTCATATCGATCAACGCAGCTGCTGTGTTACCCAACCAACCGGCAGGACGTGACGGATGCATTCAATTTCTCAACGAATAGATATTAGTCTATGCAGGTGGTAAGTAAGGCGGTAGACACATGCATGCATACAACAAACAGATCCACGCCTCTGTTCCATATGAGCAGAATATGTATGATGAGAGAGCATAGGAGGGCGAGCGTTCACGTTCGTTTGACTGTCGTCAATTGTCTTCATATATGTAGACCTCACATACATACTCTTCAGTCCTGTTTCTTTTCGACGAGAGTTGATTGTATGGCTGGGTGTTTGTTGGGGTAGGCTGTACTGCTGCTGTAGACTAGCCCTTTTTTTTTCATTTTCCAGTTTTGGGGACGCAATTATCCCGAAACGAGTTAGCTCGTTACAAACGCCTAGGACTGTGGTGTCGCATGTGCGGTTCGCTGGCCAGGTTGGATGGTGTATGAGCGATAAATCGGGGTCTCTCAACTTGTTATACGCCGGAAACCAACATGAATTTTTCTTCGCGCACGATGTACACTGCACGAAAACGTGAATTCGTAACGGTGCACACAAGAAGGATGTCGTACTTTTGATGCGACAACAATCAAACATGACGAACACCACCACCACCACCACCACCACCAACAGAAGCAACAACAACCAACCACCACCATCAGCGGAACGACAATGACTGGCAACGACAGCAGCATCATCCACGACGACAAAACGAAGACGGTGACCACGTCCACATGCCCCTCCACCCCCCCCCCGTCTCCGTCCCTTCTTCACAGGACGTCGCCCAAAATTAGCTACGACGATGGTGCCTTACACGTGCAAGGCGGCTGTGCAACGATACACGATCTTATCGAGTACCGGACGAACGACGGGAAACAGATTGGACCAATCTTTCACTTTGACGAGGTACATGGCGTGATCTGGCGGTTTCTACGCAGCTCCCAACCATTTGATCAGCAAAGTAGTACCTCGGTGGCGCTTTGTGTAGCATTTCCAACAGGCAAGGTTGCGACGTGTGCAGCAACGAGCAAACTCATGAATGCGCTTTGCATTCTCTGCAGGCGAGCTGCTGATCATGTTTTTTCTGACAACGTATGTTCAGGTGTGTCGACAACAACTTAATTAAAATTGTCCACGACTGGCGGCGTCGTTCCCCAAGAAACGAAAACAAAATGTCTCTTCCATCTCGCCGTGCGTACAACAGGAAAAAAAGTGGTACACCGACACCTACACGGGCACCTACTACCTGGAGTCGGACGTGTTCATCACGAACGGAGCTACCCTCAGCATCGACGGCTCAGAAAGCGAAAAAAATGAGTGCGAGTCACTCCTCTTGGTAAGTACGCCGGAAGAGCGAGACTACGCCCGAGGGTGGTCGTGTAGGAAGCGATGTGCGGGTTGGTCGCAGAAACGCAATCTATCAAATGGTGCAATGAATGTTTATCTTGGTGTAATGAATGTTTATCTATTGAGTGGGTTGAAAACGGTCGCAGATTTCACTTACATGTACGCCACAGGCATCGTAGGGCAGGATATGTTTTTCTTGGGATGTGTGCGATATGCAGTGATCTATCCTGTCGTATAAAGCCTGCTGTAGGGTTTACACAGGGCGAGCAACTGCTGTATCCGGACAGGCAAATGGATTAATGGACATATTCATAGCGTTTGAACCAAAACCCAGAGGTACGGAACCGAGATAGATAGATAGATTGATAGAGATACATCGATACATAGATTAATAGAGAGAGAGAGAGAGAGAGAGGAGAGTGCAGGACGTGCTTTTTTCGCGAGCTGGGGATTGAACGTGAACCCATGTACATGACCAAACGCACTGCAAACGGACAAGGATGCAGGCTCATCTGTTCATGGGTCTTGACCTTCTCCGCTTGGAGAAACGCGCTGTGTCTCGTCTTCATCTCGAATCGATCGACCAGCAGAACCGCAACAATATGCCGACCGAAACCTTCGCCGTTCGTTGTAGGCAAGCAACAGCAGCACCTTCAACAGAATCACGGCTCACGGCGGGAACCTGGACATTCGGTACACTAAAATCTTTTCGTGGGACCTCGAAAATGAAGACTACGACACGGAACCCAGCGATGGTCGAAGGTAAAACGTGGTTGTGTTCAGCGACACTCTGGACTGTTCTTCGCTTGGCAAAAGTGGTACTTGTCACCGATATCGCTGTGTAGACATAGCGCAATGTACAAACATGCAAACATGTCTGCGTTCTACTGCGGTCTCACTCAACACTTACGTGGCAACCGTGGTGAGGCGTTTACAACTCCAGTAGGCGATGACTTGGTGTTCTAGCGCATGACCGAAAGCAGGCAGAACATCTTTGAATACCTCTCGACCCTTCACGCCGGAGCCGCCGCAACGAATTCGCGTCGGACGATGCTACAGCTACTTGAGCGCTGTCACGGAGAAGATAACCGGGCGAACGAAGGACACCTGTCCTGACGACTCGAGCAGCTCCAACGGCCAAGCCAAGAAGGACATGGGAAACGCCAACATGGACATCCACCGATCAGAAATTGGATGTGAGAAGACACGCGTAGAGATGTACAATTAATAACATTCCCATCTCTCCAACGTCCGTCGAGGGCGATTTCCTCTTTTCACGTTCCCTCGGCTGTGCTTGGGCTTTCTTCGCCACATATCAGGGGAGAAAACAAGGCTCCCCTGCTTGACGGATAAACCACCTTTGCTGGTTTAAATGCCTGAACATATTCTCGAACGAAAAACAGTTGGTGCTTGATAGGGTAGAACCAATGTTCTATACGGTGCTGTTCCATACTTGGGAGACTCGTGCAAACGAAATGCCACGCATCCAGGAAAACAGCCTGGACCACATTCCACCTTTCATGCTCATTGCATCGCACGGTATCCCTTACACCGCCCAACAAAATGAAAACAATTTGCGGATCAAGATCCCTCACATTCGACAGCGAATCTACGTGAGGCACGAGAGGTCTCCGGCTTCAATGGAGACGTACACCGGATGCGCTCAACACTAAAGCGAGCAAAATCCACCCCCATCCCCCCTCGGCTACTCTGTTTGCCTCTATGTACACGAGCACCAGACCTGGGTTACGACGGATCTGAGGCCTACGGCATCTCGTACAAGGCACGCGGGTTGTGCAAAGACCATTCCAACCTCGACATCTTCGACGACGACAACGGGCTCAACGTCGGTGTTACCGGAGACATTTACCGCTCCGACCTGCACCACAACTGGTTCGGGCACTACTCCTGGGGACACGACGGTGGAAAGTGGCAGTACAACACCGTCCACGACAACTACGGCTATGGGTGCGTGCTCTTGTAGCTGGAGCGTTTTTATGCCAAGCCATGAACAGAGCGGCCGCAGCCACAACGATGTTAAGGCTCACTGCTATTTCGATCAACCTACTCGAGCTAAATACCTTTGGTGTCCGACTCCCTTCGCCCAGGTTCGACCCGCACGACGACTCCGACAAGCTCAGGATCATCGGGAACGAGGTCTACAACAACGGGTGGCATGGGATCAGTGAGTAGCGCCACCGGTGCGCGAGAGATCGCCACCGTGGCGAACATCATGTGTACAGTCAACACATGTGGCCTATGGTACTTAGAATGGCAAAAGAACCAAGTGTCTGTAACATTACGCGCTCGACTTCAGGTCTCAATCGCAGCAATATGAAGCTGGCAGTTTGGATTCTCCGGCCAACAACTCCCGGGGAGAGCAGCGATCGCTAGCGCACCTACCGTGCTCTCGTCCTGACCCGTGCGACTACGGTTGTCGCATTTCTTTCTGTCCTTGCCCCCTTTCCTGCCTGTCACGACGTTCGACAACGCATCACCGACCTCGCCATCTCTGCACTCAACTGGGCGAACGACCAGTCGCATCTAAGCGATGTACCGACATCACCATCAAGAAGAACACGGTAGGCCGTCTTCCCCGCTTTTTTACTGCTTCAATCAAACCTGATCTCCATCCTATTTGTGCATGGTTTCGTTTTTTGTTGTTGGTTTTTCGGCATCTCACCCGCTCCCGCCGCTTTCGCGCGGCCCACCTGCTCTACGGCCTCTTACGCGGTGGATCGGGGCAGATTTGATTTTGGGGGGGGCTCCGTACCGCAATAATGCTATACCCCCTACCCCCTCCAATGCTTAAACGTCCTTGGCGGTGCCAACGGGTTTCGTCGTGAGCAATAGGAGCACCTTCAAGGAGCGCCGCCAAATTATGGCCTTGATACACCTGATCTCCGTTGGAACAGTTGGAGTAATTGGAAACCGACGGAGCGGACGGCGAAATCTCCGCCATCCGATTATCGCGATCGCGTTACCTTGACGAATACCCCGCTCGACTCCCTACCCCCCCACCCTCCACGTACCACCTGATCACCGTTGCAAGGTCTACAACAACGGTCTGCATGGAATCATGCTGCACCGATCCTGCGACCGTGCCAATGTTAGGGAAAACTACGCCTACAACAACGGGGAAGCTGGGATCGCGTTGTTTGAGACCTCCGACAGCAAGGTTTACAAAAACACCCTCGAGAACAACAAGTGTGAGTGCAGCAATCTGCAGTAGTAGCTGCACAGTGTTCGGCGCCGTGCCTACCGCTGAACGAGTCCCCGCAGCAGTATCTCATGCGTTTAGTCCCCTGGAGGATGACGCGCGTGGCTATCTCGGAGAGTTCTCTAATGTGTTTACGTGCATCCTGTTTACGTGCATCCAATTGGTATCGCTCTGTCTTTCTCTTCGTCTGGACCAACATACATGTACTGTTCTTGTTTACCATCCGTTCATTTTGACTTTTTCTCGGACGCGCAGTAAGACGGTACGGTACGAAGGGAGAGCACCATTTTTCCTGAAAATGCCAGAAGGTGGAGGCGAAACGGGTTTGAGCGAGATTAACCTTCTCCTGCCTCTCTTGCGCACTTTGTATTTAAGCGCGTCTCAAAGTTTCTCACATGAGGCACCCATGTATCGTAGAGCGACAGATTTCTCCGCGAAATAGTAGAGATAAGTCGGCCGGACATTTCAATGGCTCGATCACTCCACCTGTTCGTCGTGATTTTCGGCGTCCTGCAGACGGCGTCCGCTGGAGCAATGGTGCCAACGGCAACAGGGTCTGGATGAACGACATCGTGGTTGAGGCGGACCAGGGGGCCGACTTCGCGCTATACATGTGTGAGTTTGCGCAGACGGATGGGTTGTTTTTCTCCTCCTGTCTGCGGCGGCAAGGATCTACCATGTGTGTACGGGTTCGCTTGACGTTCGCTAATCACCGCTGCATTCGAGTATTTGAGTACGACACGAAGCACCCGCTGCAGGGGGACAGGTGACGCTACCCCTTCGCAAATCCGCGCCAAATGATCTCCGGATCCTCTTTCGCGATATCCTTGCGAATACGACTGCTTTGGTGTCTTCTGACCAACCAAGAAAATAAAACGACAGGTAGGTCCAGGTTGCTACTGACATGAACTAACGCCCTCGGCGTCTGCCTCCCGTCAACCAATACCACCGTCCGTCGTCCATGTTGATATCCGGCAACGTTGTAACTGTTTGCATGGCTGCCGTGCCCACGCGTGTTACAATCCTTGCAGTCAAGGGAACCGATCCTCAGGAGGCAGAAGGCAACGAAGACGGCCGCATCAGAGACAACAGCGTATACAAGAACGAGATCTGGTCCGATCAAGACTTGGTTTGGAAGGCCACGGAGGCAGAGGACAACGTATTTTGGGTACGTTCGTTCTTGTTCATGGGTTTCCGCAAAAAGTAAATCGCATACAAGCCTGCCTCCGCAAGCCGGGGCCACGCTACGCGGCAACTCCACTCGAACACGCTTGGGGGATGAAAGGTTTTCACCCGCACTTCTCGATTGATACCCTTGGCGTCATCCACAAACTTACTAATAAAATGCCCCGCTCCTCTCCGTCACGTGATGCTTGGTACCACCGCACCGTCGCCGCCACGCCACCGCCACTGTCAACCACTTCCAATGAAAAAAGCGGAATGTGTTCAACGGCGGCGAGTCCGCGTACTTCGGCGGGGAATCGAAGAACAACAAAGTGGACAACAACATGTTCCCCGACGGATGGGAGTTCCAAACCGACGGGGAATCGTGCTTCAGGGAGGGGATGGATCCCGAGTGTTAGCAAGGAAAATAGCTGGATAGTGTCGCAACGATCACAACGGGAGAGGGGGTGAAAGAACCGCTTGGAGATGCATGAATAGCCAATAGGTGCCGGTGGTAGTGGCGACTGATTCTTAGTCGAAAGGTCTACAGGAGGTAGATTTATTGTGTTGATGGCCATGATTTACTGTTTTCATGGCCATGAAGCCAAAATAACATGTATGCATGTACTGTAGGTTCCTGTTTGATTCTTGAAGAGAGCATGACTATGAGTGCAACTAGCAGATGCTTTGCTTCTTTTGTGCCGGTGTCTTGTCGTGGGTTAAATAGCTGGCCGGTCATCCGGGTGTGTATGCCCTGGCCTGTCTACTACGCACGTTGTTACGGTTTCTGTCGAAGATATAAGAGATGTGTTCCCTAGGAGTACAAAATAATATGCCCGATGCATTTCCGCGCGTCCTGCAGTTTACCTCGTGTGAACCCTTCGCTTTGGCTTTGAGGAACGTTGAGGTCACCCCTTTGGGGGGAGAATGATTGCGCGGTGTCTTGTGTCCCTGTGTAGTTCAAATTGTTTGTACCCTCGTGAATTTAATTGCAGGCCCTTGATTGTTGGGAATGCCTGCTGCATGATATTGTGTGAGTTCGTCCTTCCGTGAATATCAACCTCACTTGTATCTCAGCTCGCGGGGTTCTCTGTGTCGAACATGTGCACGCAGTGGAGGACGCATGTCCAACGAATGAATATACCGACCGCGGGTAGTTGAGTTGATTGGTGAGTGTTCGGAACCCGTTGCGAAGCTTACAGGAGGCCTACGAGGGTGCGTTGCAGGACCTCGTGCGTCTCCCATAGATGGGCGTCTCTACATGTACGTGTCAACTTCTGTAGCCTCCAGTGACTTAAGATAATACATAGGTTGGATGTGGTTGGTTTTTGTCAGGCATTTGTCAATTTTCAAGTTTTGGGGACGCAAAAAAAAAAATAGGAAGGTTTGTTCGTCGAAGCAGATAGAATAAACTGGTGTTTATTTTGTAACAGTCGCATTAGGATTTGGCTTCATTTTCTACCGGAAACCCAGGGTCACGGTGTTTGGAATTATTAGTCTATAGTTGGGGGTGTCATTCCGTGATCGAGTCCACGCAGGGGCTGTAGCAAAGTCGGGTAACGTGTGACAGCTACAGAGCGCGTGAAGCAACGGAAGGACAGCAGCAGCCGCCTAACGCAGTAGCGGCGGCAGTTTAGAAAATGTAGAATGGTGTGTACCATTTGAGGACTTGGTCAGTTTTGGGACTCCTGCGTTTGCAGTCGTAGTCCCCCGGCTAGTATTTGTGGGGAGAGAGATGGATTTGTAAGAGTTGACGCCGGCCTTTGCAGCTAACGCGGCCGGAGAGACGATGAGCGTTTCGTGCGTCTCTCTCCCCAACACGTAGCCTAGAAACCGAAGAAATAATGAAGCAATTCGAAAGAAAACAAAATAAAATGTGCTTTTGAAGAAATAATGTTGGTGATGACGGTACTTTTGCAGCAAAAAATGTTGCTGGTGGCAGAGAGATACTGCTGTGGGTGTTTTATTTTTTCTGGTGGGTTTTGGGAAGACAAGAAGATTCGAGGACCCTTTTGGATGGGAATATATTATTCGACACGAGCCCATGCCCAGTGCGCCCCGCTGCGGGCCGATTTCGCAAGAGGCGTGTATTTCATCACTGATGCGCGCGACCACAGATCGGTCGACACGACACGAGCAGAACTAACCACCACCTCTCTTCTTTGTAGCCAAAGCTGTTGGGAACCGCTCGGTGTTCTGCGCTCTGAGGCTTTCTGTACCGGCAAACGATGACCGCTTCGCACTATCGTTGCAATCTCTTTCCGAAATAATACTGTTGCTTTCACATAAAAAAACCCGTCCGATCTCAAACGATGACCGCTTCGCACTATCGTTGCAATCTCTTTCCGAAATAATACTGTTGCTTTCACATAAAAAAACCCGTCCGATCTCAAACGATGACCGCTTCGCACTATCGTTGCGATCTCTTTCCGAAAATACCGTTGCCTTCACATAAAAAAACCCGTCCGATCTCAAACGATGACCGCTTCGCACTATCGTTGCAATCTCTTTCCGAAATACTGTTGCCTTCATATGAAAAACCCCGTCCGATCTCTCTTCCCACTACCTTCATCTGCCCGTATTGATCTACCACTTGTTGACGGGGTTGATTCCCGTGGTCATAGGCTAACTAAAATGGCAAGTCGAACCACAATGCTCAGACATGCGTGATAGGCGCTTTTGTGACCCCGGCGTGAAGGAAGAGTCAATATGTGCATCACGGGATGGCAGGTGGGTGGTAAAACGAAACGCACGCGTTGCGAGCCAAGTTGTGGCATGTACATTAGCATTATCTGCTCGGAGAGAGCTGAACTCGTTCATACGATGCATGGAATGAACAAAAACATCTGGAAAACTTGTACGGAGACACACACTACGCACGTGGGAAGCACATGAGTCGCGTTTGTGTCTTTTTTCCGTTCATGGCGTTGCGAGAAATACGGATGTGTCCCTTGCAAACGGAACAAAACGTATGCACGAGAGCAGTCTTCTCGCATATCCAAACATTATATTAGCCATAGGCCGGTGGTTCCGCCCCAGAGAATAACGTCATGCAAATCCTTATTAGCAGCAAGACTTAGACTTTTAGTGCCATAAATTACTGAGTGTATCGTAACATCATCATAGTCCCGTTCGCTGGTTGGCGAGACACACCGCAGCTACCCCAACTACCCCAACTGTGCCTCCCACTACCGACACATACGACAGCCTACAGAATTGCAAAGACCCGTGCTTGGAAAGAGCCGTAGGTATACACAGAATTTCGACCATGGGGGAATAAACCGTGGCCATACTCGCATGCCCTTAGTCTATGTCTCCAAACCAGTACTTGGCCTTCCCCCTCCTTTCGAGGCCAAGACACGAGTTCCCGTGGCTACAAGGCATACATGGCTACAAGAGGCTACCAAGCAATGTACAAAAAAGGACCGCCAGAAATAAACAATGCTAGCTCAAAACCAAACGTTAACGTTGTCCCGAACGGGACAAGACAGAGACGACAGCAGTGAGGCAGGCAGGAAAACGCCAAAGATGAAGCAGAGCCCATTGCTCAAAAACGAAAAGCCGAGTCCGAAACAACCCTACAGCCACCGTCGCTTGCAAGTTTTCTCTACCCACCGGCCGTCCTGCGTTCCTAACCGCTACCTTCCAAGGTCAGACCGGTCGCCCCGGTGGTCTAGTTGGTATCCTCGAAACCTTCTAGAGGTCAGGTCAAGGGTTCGAGTCCCGGCGTAAGCGAGCTTTTCTTGCAAAGTGAGTTTTCTCTCGCTTCCGCTCCTGGCCTAGTGGACAGCGCTACTTCGTGTGTACACGGAGGGAAGAGAGTGCTGAACTCTTCTCGCATTAAAAATTGAAGGCAAAGTACCGCAGGAGGGGAGGGTAGAGAGGGGCTCTTCTGTGCGACCACGGGTTGGAGTACACAGCACTAGAGCTGTGAGCGCTGATTTAAAATGAAGACAAAAAAAAAAAAAAAGGTCACGTGTAACCGTCCCCCCTGCGAAAGCGCCCCTATCCTGACGCACAAGTATCAATATGGTACAAAATACAATAGACCGACATTCTCACGCCCCTATCTACGAAGACCACAAATGGTCCCTCGGTACATTCTTTAATTGACATAGAAGACTGAATAGCATAAATTTAGAGAACAAATTGCACACGACAAAGATCGACAGAAGAGTTAATAGCATTGCCTTAGGAGAACAAATCACACATGATAAAATCGGCTGGGCGGTGGCACGTTAGATGCGTTGTAAGGGGTGCGGGCTAGTGCCTAACCAACCGTCTCGGTTTAAGGCTTTTGCAAGACACCGTCCAAACGTAGTCCACACGTGAAGAAGGGGCAGTACACCGACAGTTACCTTTGACGTTGTTCTCACGTCACATGGCATTTCCGAGGAAACCTACGCTGTGCCCAACGAGAAAGGCCTGACACGGGACACCGGACAAACGACACGGCCAGTCCAGAATGTTGCAACACACACGCCAAAACCCGCACACACGCGGGGAGACAGATGGTTCTCTAGCGTGTTCGCGGTTTTGGACCCGCCCGCAGCAAGACTTGATGTTTTTCATCCATCAGCCAGTCAGGTGGGTCGCTGCCAGGAGGGCGCCGACATATTTCCGAGGCAAGCAAAAGAGAGGACCTCCGCCTTCCATATGAAAGCTCCCCGCTGTCCTGACGTGCGTAAAGAGCACCCTCACCGCCAACTAAGCGAAAACCTGGGGCTTTCCGTCCCGGATTTTTCAGGGAAACGTTCACGACACAAATCTAAACCAAAAACATGGGCCGAATACCTCCTACCCCTTCCTCCCCTTGAAATTACCCCGGCAAGTCCTGTACAAGATTTCGCAGGGGCAATCCTGCCGGGCAGTGGTGTAGCACTGCTGTGCCTTTATGGCTACGGTTGTTCTTCATCCGCGTCTGCTGCTCCAGGGAATTTCCGGGCATCGTCTGCTTGGCGTTTCGCCTCGAGGAGATCCCTGCAACATTGTGGGATGCACCAAGAAAACAACGGAATCAGGGAATCCGTTGAAACACTATTTAGGGAGCAGTGCGCAGGTGTGTGGTGAAGCAGACTGGTACACTCCACACGTGGTGGGTTTGTCCGACGCAAGGCTTGAAACATGTGACCATGAACCGTTGATCGTTACACCGTGCAACTTGTCGAGAGAGGCGGCTCCATTACGTACCAACTCTCGTCCCATCCAAACGTACAATGACCCGAAACCAACCATATCGTATTGGATCCCATGTATCCGATTCATCTCGAACTCGCCGTGTTGGGACTACTAGTAGTCTTTCATTTGTAGTCTTGAGCATATGGTGATTTCGACGACAGCTGTGTTTGGCGAGGGCTACCTTTGGCTCGGCTGTGAGCCCAAACTTTGCCATTCCAAGGAACTTGACATATTCACCACATGTCGTCAATTCATGCCGATCAGTGTATTTTTCACATACGACAACAAAGAAAGCCAATTTTAAGCCAATGCGGTATCGTGAGACGCTAATTAGACCCGGGTTTGAATGTGAAAAACAAATACGTTCCCACGAAAAACCACCAACACCAGCACCAGAAACAGATCTCAATTTCAGGCAACCTTTTTCGCTCACCTTGCGAGGTCGATAATTCCATCGACGCCTGGGTTGTACCATGTATTGCAGGAAATCGTCCACTCATCGCCCGCCGTATGTCTCGCGTAGATGTGGTGAAGCTTTAGTTCGGTCAATGTTTGTTGCAGAAAACAATGTTTGGTGAGGCGACACGGCAGCAAGCAACGATTGGAGAGTGATTCAAAGTGCAACTTTTGCCATGTTTGCTGCGAACAGAGACGCAGCTTCGTTCTTCATTGCGAGGAAGACCTACCAAGTAACCAATTACTGGAAAGTCAAATCGTTCAAGTTTGCGGTAGGGCAGGTGCTTCCTGCCACCTTCAGCAAACGTCCTAACACGAACAGGTGCCTTGCCGTCCTCTAGTAAACCCCAGTAGACACACAGCATTAGACACACAGGTGACTTGCCGTCCGGGGCACTCAACACGAGCACACACGCCGGCATCAAAATCACCATTCGTTCAAGGCACAACTAACGCTGTACCTACTGCTGCCTGTTACAGAGCGCCTGGGGTCGTGCTGTAGCTTTCTTTCGTGCGATGGGAACGTGTGTCCTGCTGCAAGCATGCTCAACGTCTCGGCGCGGGAAAGCACCACTCGTCCTGAAACCGAGCCCTGTATTCCGAATATTGCGCACCATATCCTTACGGCCAATCCGTACCTTAAAGGCGAGCCTCAAGAAGCAGGGGGGGCACTCTAACGGGGCAATCTCCAGCACCGGAGTGTGCAGGGGCGCGACGATCATGTTGGCAAGCCCGGCCCCGTGGGGAGCTATGATCATGGCCGCGGTTGCGAAGATCTTGAGCTGGTCTCGGACGGGATCTGTGCCGAAGAACTCCACCACGTCGAAGCTCGTAAAGTTCATCTCCAGGGCCTCTCTTACCTACGATTGATTAACGAACCGTTATTGGTGTCGTATCGCTCTCGAAGAGCATCGGACCCTCGAATAGACTGAACTTAAATAGCATTTGAACATACCTACTGGACTGGATAGCCAGACACTACAATAAACACTTCGAAGTATATGTCGTATTTTTCATTATTAATATTTAATTAGCACTATGCCGTGCCCTTTCGAAGTCCCCGTTTGTAAGCCCGATTTTTTTCGGCTTACACGCCAACGATTCCTGTCATTCTTTCGGTTCCCGCACGGGAAGAATGTAGCGGGCATGACCCGAGAGTCTCGCGCCACGCGGCGCGCTGTGTCGGGAGCTGCTGGCGTTGAAAAGTCACTGGAAATCAACGATTTGGTGGTTCCGGTCGGTGTTGTTCGGTTTTTCGTTCGTCTACATCATAGTCGAACCAGGTGTGGTCATACGTTACGTCACAATATTGCATCTGGCAGCGGCAGCAGTCTCTACCTCCCGCAACTCTCCGTCTTTCTTTGCGTTCTTCCTGCAGCTCCCGGACGGGAATGGTAAACGCACAGCGCGCCCCGCGCGTAGCGCGCCCGCTGCCTACACAACTATAGCATCAACCAGAGTTACACACACAACACACACACAAAACAGAATCGCCGTTTCGTGTGGATGTGTGCCCCGGGATCAGCGCTGTGCAACCAAGCGGTGTGATGAAGCACGTTTAATATCAGAGAACCTCCGAACCTGGATCTATCGATGTATTTCGCTCTACCACCGTAGACAGATGTGTACGCACAGCATAGCGCAGTGCCTACCCGATCCTCGATATTTTGTAGGGAGGTGCTGTGCAAGCGTGAAATAGTCGCAGCTCTGCATGGTGTTGCCAAGCAAACTCGCATGGCCTGCCTATGTATACGGGAGGTGCAATACGACGGGAGGTTTGCAGCCTGCCCACATCTAATTCTGCAGTACATAGAGTCAAATAGTCGTGCAGTTGTACACAACGTTATACGGTACATGTTGCGCTTTAGGCTACCATTTTGCTCGCGGAAGGAGACTTAAAAAAGTATTCGTTGTGTTGAGGTACGATTCCGTGGGCCTGCCAGAGAAGGGGGGGTTGCAAATTTCCGTCGCACAGCCCGCCGCAGAGATGTATATACGTGTATCACGCGTGCGACAAACCCACGGATTTATTGAAGTAGTCCGGGTTGGTTTTGGTAAAGTCGTCGACAAAACGACAAAATTGAATCTACACCACTTGCCGACATTCTTCACAACTTCAAACCCTTCCTTTTCTTCACCTACGGGTATGCGCGAGCACCCATGCATCAAATACAAATGCAAACCATTTGAGTCAGCATAGAGAAATAAATCTACAAGACTTCGTGCTGTCGGGTTTCGATATACCCGATGACAAGCCCGCCAGATTCGGCCGTTGGACGGCGCGCTCGTCCTCAGAACAGAGGAGGTAGAAAACTCATGAGGCATTCGTCGGTGCTTTCATGGTCAGCTGCATGCCAAGGGAAAATGCCAAGGGGGGTTAAAATGTTTGTGGTGCGTCGAGTTTATTGGTAGAGCGAAACACGTACACTCACGATCCGAAGGAACCAGGCACAACACTAGCCTATACGCTCAGCGTCCCAACTTCTTTGCTGCTGCTTTAGAATCTCTCCCTGGTGACGACGAATTTGCAGTTTGTGATGAATCGGATGTGTGCCCTTACTCTCGTATCATCGCGTAGGTATATCGGCAAAGCTGCGAGACACGCATGCAGGAAACACCGTGGAGATTGAGTAATCGAAGAGAAAGCAACACCATCACACTTTCTACTGTGGATGTGACAACTATCGTGAGCTCGTACGAGTTCGATGGGAATACTTCAAAAAATCGGGGAAGCAGACATCCTTATTTCAAGCTGTAGTTGGGGGGGGGGGGGGTACTCATAGTCGTGCGTGCCGTAGTCGTTAGACCATTGACCTCGCATCCCTACAAAGCCGGGACGGAGCACGCCGGGTTCTCACCGGACCAGGCAAGCTGGGGTTGGGGACGCAAAAACAAACCCGTCAACATCCTACTAGACACGAGTATCCATTGACCATCATCACTTCCACGGCAGATGCCACATTTCGGTGGAAGTCTGGCGGCACTTTCGCCGGTGACCTCATTGAAGCTCAAATCTTTTCAAGTTGTGGAAGCTTCCATGAACTCGAAGGAAACTCGTGACGGCAAATTTACCAGGTCGAGAATGAACCTCCTGGACGTACAGCGTCCACTGAAGCTAATATGCGGCACAATCTTCCTTCGAGACCTGCATTTGTGGAAGGTATCGCTCACGGATCGGCTTTGATCGGACTGCGCACGCACGGGCATATCCCCATATCCCCATATTTGCTGCGCTGTGTACACCCATGGGTCTTTCGCTGTCTCTACCAAGATCGACATGTCTGCAAGGTTTTTGGCGCTTCGCGCTACTGTAGCGCAAGGTTTCCATGGAGCGTCGGATCCACGAAAGAATCGGCAGTCAAATCATTGTGAAGGACAATTTTGTCGCCCATGGACACATACCTCGTTGTTGTTTTCCAGGCCCCGTATGTTGCTGCGCACAATGAGCACGATCACCGGGCGGGGCGGAACAGGAGGAACGCCGCCCGTGTCCGGAAAAAGACTCTGCAACGACAGCGAGCAAGGATGCCGTGGTGTGTCTGTTTGATTGTCAATATTATTACACCATGTCGATCCATTCGAACCCGGATGGCACACACATGTATCGGCAGGCCTACGAAAGGTGGAAACGAACAAGAGAAGAAAACAGCAGTAGCAGAACGAAGGGTGTCGAAAAGAAACAAAAAACGGAACCAACGACAAGATTCCTTACCCCCTGCAAAAACAGAACACCATATGGTTTTTCGCTCGCTGCGCACCTGCAGGAATCTGTTCCTGAGCATGTTGACCATGTGAGGGTCCGGGTCGCCGCAAATAGTAGTAGTCGGCACAATCGCTAGATTTGCATGGACCTGGGACGGAAAGGGAGGGTTTGCGGCTTGAGCGGTGGAGAGGGTGAGGTATCGGCCTACAAGCGATGCGCCCCTGGCTGTGCATGGGTGAGCGTCAGCGTCAAGCCGCGCTAGGCCTCGAACTGGTGCAAGCTTCAGAGCCAACACACCCGCGGGGCGTGTGTTGTTTCGTTGAGGTATACCATAAAACTACCTGTGCTAACCAGCTGAAAATGCGACATACGCCGCCTAAAGCGGGACAACAAACAATCGTCTTTCCCACTTCCGCGGATGTCCCTGGGGGGGGGACGCGGTGAAAATTGTGTGCAATGGGAGAGCCTGCTGAATGTTCAAAGCACTTGTACACGAACTGATACGAAGGACTCTTCCTATGGTGCCTCCCTCGTCCCGGTGGTGGTACTACTTTGTGCAATCTAGCTTCGATGCATGTTATATTTCATCCACGAAGCCCAACGTAACCACTCAGTAGGACGAACGCAGGTGATTCTCCGAAATAGCTGCTGCCCTATTCCTGCAAATCTTGAGGAAATTTCGCTCAACGCGTCATGACGCGATCACCAACGTCTGGCGGCAACTGCGGAAGTGCCAAGGAAAAGGTACCTCGATAGGGCGTACATCTTCGGATTCCCGACCTGCAACGCGGACGCGACAGCCATCGCCAAGCTCTTTTTTGCCCAGCTGGCGTTTGCCATCTTGACAAATATTTGATGTGCTACTGCTGTCGTTGTATGACCTTGTTCGGGGTGCTCAAAAACCATGATTAGTCGAGCCCTCCAACATGGTCGTGTTGGAGTCCGCGTGTAGACTAGAATCTCGTGAACATTGTTGTCGCAGCAAACAATGGCAGCAACAAGCAGCATATGCTCCACCACCGCAAACATCAACATTTGCCCACCTCGTGCGAGGTATCAACGACGCGTTCTCTGCTGATTCCAATAAGCTCAAACAGCTCCATATGAGTCTCGAACTCTGTGGAAGTGTCATGCCACTTGTCCTGCCCGTGGTGGCGCATCACGATCTGAATGCGGTTGTACAAAGACACACGGGGGATGCCAACAAGAACATGATCACATGACACTATAATAGTGTGTGTACCTGGTGCGATACGCAGCTCATTTTGTTTGTCACATTCCGAAAACTTACGACACTTATTTGGACATACAGGAGCAACACCGTATGTGATGGGGGTGAAACCATGAACCAACGCTTACAAGAAAAAGCAACAATGCTCCTCAATGTACCGCCACCATGCACCGTGAAATGCTGTGGCAGGAGGATGTCGTCGTCATCGACGTTTGCCCTCAGATATTGGAGCCATGGAAGTGGAGTGCGTGTGGGAGAACCGGCGCCGGTGTGCCAAGTCACAGTTCGTCGTTGTCTCCGTAGTGCACACGTACCTTACGTTTCCGCTTGGTCTGCAACCCTGACGCAACGCACTGATCAACGTATGCAGCATGCCGTGCGCTATTGCTGACAAGGACAATCGTCGGCACCAGCTGACAGCTACGTACGCACATTTAGGCGCAAAACAAAAAAGACGCTGTCACAAATTACAGACAACGAAAACGGAGCACACTGCGCGCGCGTTCACTCGAGCACAAGCACCAAACAAGCCACAACACAACACGCTTGTAGACAAGGAAACGGCCGTGTGTGCGGTGAGAAGACAAATATTGCACCACGGATAAGGTCTTCTTTCGCCAGCTGTGTGAGTGAGCTGTTCTAGCTTGAGAAACGTCACAACTGGCAGCTGGCAGCCAGCTGTTCGCTGGTCTTGCTGCCTGCTGTTAGTTTCATGTTGCATCACCCATATATGACCCTTTTCTTTCATGAGCCCACGCCGGAGAGGTCTCTTATCTTATACATATGCTGCATACGATTCTACACGTACGTGCTATGTAGCTACACCTGACACAAACTGCGAGCGACTTCGCAAAAAACGCCATGATGAACGAAAAAGGGGAATCACGCCGCCGCACTCACCATGATGTCTGGGTTGTCGATAAGGATATCCAACGCCAGAGTGATCCGCGGCAGATGCTCCACGGTAAAGTGGTAGTAGTTCGGTCCCCACTCTTGGGCCATCACGAACACCTAACGAAGCCACAGACGATGAGTGTGGTGAAGAGCCGTGCAATGGCCGGATAGAGGAGGGGGACCCACGACGTGCACCATTGGCCGCAAAACCACAAACCGCGTTATGCTCAACGCCCTCCTACTGCTCGATGCACAGTGTACCGTGATGTGGCCGTGCACCACCATGTCTGTACACTCGCTTGTTTTCGGGATAGTCCTAGTAGTCTACGCAGCTTTCTCGTACGTACGCAAGCATTTTGCCCCCTGCCTGATCTTTTTCGAAATAAAGTTGCCTTCGTTGCGTAGGCAGTCCGCCAAACCTGCCGAAGAAGGAAAATTTGTGGGAGGACTGCACGCCCTTCAACCGTGTTGTGCACTCTGCTCTTTGTCACCCGAAACTACTCAGGGCTGGTTGAGCTTGTACACAAACCTGCTCTTCCACATCATGTGCAGCTATTACAAGGATACGTCACTCCGACGGCCGTAGACAGGGTGCAGAGTCAAATCGTTTCCCCGTCCTTTCGACCACATGCATACAGATAGCGCCCGCACTTACGAACCCCTAGTTTGACCGCCGCTGAGGTTTGTATTCAGTTCCTCTTGTGGGCTACAAATTGGCCGCTATATAGGTTTTAGTGTAGCGTTTCTTAACCGGGCTCACAAAAGGTGGTCAAGTTCTTACGTATGTTTGGCATAGTGTTGGGCATGAAAGTCTCAACTGCCAAGTTGTAAGTGCGGGCTCTATCTGTGGACCAGGCGAAGAAACAAAAACGTTTCAGACGCTACACAAAATTGAGCGTTTCTAATTCCCCGCTCTGCACCTTGCGGCGACACCATCATTCGTGCTTGCCGCCACCGTCTGCTTCATGGAGCAACGATTGTGCTCGATGGAACTATCACGGTTACAACATATGTATGCCGGGCAAACTCGTATGTGAATATGTGAACAACAATCAACACCTTGCCACCAACTTTGTTCCATCGATATACCTCCATGGAAGAATACTTCCCCACACCGTGGCCAATAAACAGATAACGTTTCCGCTGTAAAATTCCTCGCTCTTTCCCTTCCATCTCCGTTGTGTGTTGCAATACCTTTTCGTAGCTTTCGACGTATCTCGGTACGTCCCCCGTGGCTTCTAGCAAGGCGTCTTCGGCCTCATCCTTCGTGAACCTAGCGCAGTTAACCGGCGCAATGAAATCCTGCATACGGTTGGTGGGTCGGGCCCAAGTTACAAAAACCATTGCCAACGTCCCCCCGCCCCAGAGCAAAAAAACGAGAACATGCGGAAACGGGAAAAATGAATGTTTTTCGTCAGGAAAATATTGGAGATTAGGTTGGAGGTGGTCGATGTCGAACTGCCAAGGGATCATCGTTCAAGTCACGGCTGCTCAAAGTGCACCATTGAAGACACGGCCACTTGAAGCAACATCCCCATGCTTCCTGTGTCGCTCCAGGCCACGCGAGTACAAAATTCCAAACGCAGGGAAGAGAACGCAGCTTGCCCCCTCCCCCTGCCAAGCCCAAAAACAAACAAGTTACGTGGCAGCTCGGAGTGCCTGCAGAGGCAAACATGCAACTTGGTCTGGTCCAACCACACAACACGATAGATTGACCCTACAAACTTAAATCTGGTACATACATATACATTCCTCTAACCCCATGCCTCTTCCATCCTTTCGCCATGTTGTCTATTTTCTCCCAATTTCGGTCGCAGTTGCTATTTCATCTGCCGACTTGCCGCTTCAACCATGGAGCTTCGCACAGCAGGTAGTATCTGCGGTGCACGCCTTTGTGTGTTTTCAACGTGAGAAGTGTGCATGCTTCCCTCAAGTGTCCTAACGATATGCGTGAGACCACAACTCGCCGGGATTAGAACTCAACCTAACTGCTAGACCACGGGGCGCCCAGCAAATACCAATGGCAGCAAGTACACCCGTTTCCTCCATCTACCAGAATGTTTCCAAGGTGTTCTTCCTCACATGCTCGTTCCACACCGCCCCTTTCCTGTTGATGAACACGTCCACCATGCTGACCAACGTGGGGATCCTCACGCAATCCTCGATGTCTTGCCCTGGGTCCTCTCCCGAACAGTAAGGGGTCAATAGCCTTGCTCACGTAGTGGCAGTTAATTACCCACGAGAACGTCAAGGAGCGAAAAAACGGCGGTAGCACATCAAAAAAAGAGTCCCGGCGTACGTCTCTAGATACGGACTGAAACAGACGCACCAAAATCTAGTGTATCTAGAGGGCGTCAAGCAACCCTGAGTGCAACACGTGAATGCTGAAAATAACCTTGAACAGGTACTGCACGTATTTCGGGGTGCTTGCACGTTAGGGATAGGCTTAGGGTGAAGAAGAAGAAAAGTAACCACGCGCAAGGGTTGCTCCCAAGCAGCACCTCGGCAGAAAGCTTGGGTACGGGTGTGGCAAATGTGAGAAAAACCAACACTATCATTGGCCGAAAGCCCAACTACACTACCCCACCGAAATCTCCTCCCCTTTACAGCACGGAGTATATCTAGCCAACATGACCGACAGCAGGTGTAGCGTAAAATACAACTGACAGTCGTGACTATCAAACCGCGGGCCTCAGCCCTTCAGAAGCTACTTACTGTGCTGCGGCGGAGTTTCCCTCGCGAACGGCGCCTAAGAATGGTCTGACACCAAGCAGCGTGCCGAACTTCGGACGTACGTGTTCAGTCGTGGATTTCAAGTCAAAGCCGTCGGCCTCGACCATTCGTCTGTTCCAGCAGGTTATGAAGCAAACGCATGCAAAAGGATGTGCGTTATGCTACAGGGCAGCAGCGTGCTCTCACAAAAGGGCAGGGGGAATGGGTTGGGAAGACCAGGAGGCACCAAAAAGCACGCGAGACTGTGCTATTTAGATAGCGCAGCCATGAAATCGCTCGTACAAAACGCAAACAAAAGGCAGTAGCCAACATGCTATCGCCTGCTCCAGCACGATAGGACGGCTGGGCAAGGCCGCGCGCGCGAGCAATACGCAAAATTTGGGGGTTCGGCCGGATTTCACGATGCAAAGAGAAGTTAGGCTGGCAAGTATGGCTGCACATATCACCGCTTCATTTCGGCGACGAAAAGCGCTTGTCATACTGGGTAACATAAAGAGAGCAGTTTTTACTGCAGTTGCCCGGCAATGCCTATCCTTAAGCCAAACGCAGTGGCACTTGTGAACGTGGGCATACCACGGGAACTGGCAGAGACGTACTCGAGCCGCGAGATCCGAAACAACTTCGGCTTGTCTCTAATAACTACTGTTGGATACGCTGGGCGCACCCGCATCTCAACCATTGTAGTTGAACAAAGTGTACATCCGCAACCATGTTCTTTGCATCCCATCTACGAACGTCTCGATCGCATCTTCTACCATGGAATGGGCTCTCGCCTTTCCAACTGAAGAGCTCCGGTCTGGGGGCACACCGCAAAACTGCTCTGGGGTGACACTGCAACGAGAGAAGGTTTCCTTCCACCCTCTTTCGTCCAATCCTACACTCACGAACAAGCAACCGTGGGAAGGGGATACAACACACCTGAGCAGCGAGCTTTGCGAGATGGGGAAGTAGGACTCGAGCGTCCTGACGAAGTCCACGTCCTGGGCAGGCGCTAGCGATCCGGGCTCTCGCGTCAGATCGGGCCTGCGGACCACAACGGCTCCCTGGGTGTGCGACATCTCCTCTCCGAGGTCGCCCCCCTGATACGTGTGCAAGTGAACCCCCTGTAGGAGAGAGAGAAAGAGAGGGTGGGCGGGGGTACGGAGGTCATTCATCAAGCAGCGGGGTAGTGCACAATATCAGCGACAGAGATCGAACGTGCGGCTGGAATCCGATTAATACACTGCAGTTGGTTCCGCGACACGTGTACGTGCTTGAGCACGCACTTCTCTAGCACAAGAATAACGTTCGAAACACAACCGAATAAAAAGATTTGAGCGCCGCAGACAGAAAACGATTCTTCACAATTGCGACGGGCGTGAAACCCCCTGAGAAGCGGGCGAGCGAACGTACAGGTTCACAAGGATTCATCGCCCAACAAACTAGGTGTGTGTATTGATGTATCTGTGCACAGGATTATCCAGCAAGATATAAAGACTGCAGGTTTCGAACATTACCGGTAACAACAAGTTACTATGTTATGCGGTAAAGAACCACCTCTTGGTTGGCAACTGGCAACACGGATCGTGAATTGCGATATATGTGGCTACGACCCTCCAGCGCGCGAGGATGAGCCATGTAGAGGGACGTCCTACAGGTGGATTGGGAGAGTTGTCGTCAAAGGAACGCGTGAAACGGGAGCCGAACATTATTTGCATCGCGATCCTGAAGCGACCGAACGTGCGTCTACCCCCGCGCCCTTGCGCAGGCGGGCACACTTGTAGACGGTAGGCAGTCGGGGACATCGATATTGTGGGGTTGCCTGCATGTTCAGAGTGCAAAAAAATATAAGACAGCAAGAATATATGACCTGTACACCACAATGTAATTCAGCATACTGGAAGGAATTGTGCTACAGCATTGGAGGTCCCTCAATAGGGTCGGTTGAGTGGTGCCGGTGGCCGATGTAGTGCCCGTGAACTTGGCTGATACATATCGGCAGAGCAGAGGGTATTCCACCGCACATGATCCAAACCGGCAACGTATCAATGTGTACACGTGGTGACAGTTACCCTCGAGCATGTAACCTAGCCAAATCTAGTTTCGAGCTTCCAAACGAGAATTTCTGTAGCCAGCACCAGGTTTCACGTTTCAGCAGCGTCATGAGTTACGGTCTACGCCCTCAACGATTGCCCCGGCCAACAACAGCACCACCGACCATGACGACCAACATACGTGTGTGCGCGTTCGATCGTTAAAGTCACGCCATGGATGACACACCAAGTCATACATGTCACGTCCGTGCCTTTTGTGCCGTGTTCGTAAGGGTTCGCTCTGAGAGCGAAAAGCGTGCATCCTATTGGAGTGAGTATACATATAAATCCAAAGAGGATACAGTTCAGCATCGATACAAAACGGGCAAGAACGGCAATGGTAAGCAGTCCCGACACTCACTTGACAGCAGCGCGGGCTCGGGCATCGCAGTCGCGACGATACTGTTAAGGCTTGCTGCAGCCTTGCCCATACCGATAATCCGCCGACAATCGCAGTCGGCGACGCGGCGTTATCTTGGTCTTCTTGCAGTACCGCAGAGTTGGAGCTATGGGGGATAACCGGACACCACCCGTTAGAAGGGCGGTAGATCGTCGGCAACGAGCTCTCCTCATCTTCTGGAGTCTCTGGTTCAAGTGAGACCTCTGGTTCCTCGCCTGGAAGACTTTCTGCTCTTCTTTTCACTTTTCGGTGATCTCGCCCCGACCCCTGCTGATCGAGGTGGTTTCGCGATGACGCTGGCTCATATGGATTCTGCTTCCGCTCGGTCCGCCGCTGTTGGGTGAGTTCATGGCTTCCTCGCAAGGAGTTATTTTCTTCGCGTCGAAGCCGGTTTCGTCCAACCAAATCCTGCCTTGCCGCTATTGTTGCTGCTTCATCCCCCTGGTCGTCTCTCTGTTGAATTACAGGAGGTGTCTCGCCTGAGGGTGCTGGCATTGTCAGGGGAATCTGATCGAGCACCATCGTCAGCAGGAGGCCCTGCGCCGTGCGATTGGGCGAAACGTCAACAAAAACAAGCTACCACGAGTTAAGGAAACCGTACTTTTTCCTCCCGTGGTTGTGGCTCGAGCGGGTAGTAAGAAATCTCCGAAAACAGACCGAATGAATGCTACTACTCTTGGAGTTTGATTCCCCACGTCACATTACATGAGCAAAAAAAAACACGGGGATTCTCCCAAGCGCCGTTGTGTGTGGTAGGGTCGTGTGGTTGCGTGCAAACACGACGTAACTCTATAGTTCTACCAAATCTCCTGTTTGGTTCGCCTTGTACGTACCAAGTCGCTCACCACCCTATTATCATTCTGAATTTCAAACAGCGAACTAGGGAAACCAGCATCTCCCCGACCGGGGGTTTCCACAAACCCATGACATTTCGGACGTCAGGGCGAGCCCCTGGGAGCTGAAACTTCTCCTCTCAAGGGCATGCTTATAGCTGGATGGGTGTGATGCCTGCCTGCGTCAATCGTGAAGCCCATCTCTTAATCGTGAAGCCCGTTAGCTCCGTCTCCCCCATGCTCTCCGTCCGTGGCGCGTCAGGCGGGTGTCCTGTTGTTGGGGGGAATGCCGTCCGAAAAGTATCACAGAAACAAACAGATTGAGACTGGGACGAAATAAAAGTCTTGTTGTGAGTCAGAAGGTGGGGGAGGGAGGACGAAGGGGGGTGCAGGAGCTACGACATCCCATCCATGGTTTTGGTTTGACAGAATCTTACCAGTATCCCACACTAAGACAGAGTGAGCGAGAGAGACTGTCAATCTCCCAGCTGTTTTTTCTTCTGTACTGCCATCACTTCCAAGTCGATTAAGTCTGACTCCTGTGTCCTCACGCGGTTGCCTGGATCGCCCTTCTCCGAGTTTGGTCGCCCAAAGGACAAGGAGTCACAGCAGGCTGAGTCCCAAATATGATATTTTCCCATCCGATTGTTTCCAGAAGAGAGTTTATCACAATATGGGCTTGATGTCACCGACTGCTGTAAATCTCGGCAACGACGATCAAATGAAAAAACACTCCAACACATCCCGTTCGACTGTGGGTATATCTCGAATGGGTAGTCTTTCTGTGTGTGTTTTTATTATTCCTTAAAATAACAAGAAACTCCCGGCTTGAGGAGTAGTCCCAACCTCAAACGCTTTCTGTGTCAAAAAAAGGGTATCAAGCAGAGGTGGCGTGCGAGATGGCACGCTCTGATCTGCTGCTAAATGAGGCAGTGTTATCGAACGCTACGCAGGGTTCAAAACCCCCGTAAATCTGGATCCAAACCAAATGCTTTCATCACGCACAGCTTTGCTCGCCGCCACGAGCCACAATCTCGTGAGTTGCTTGGTGTCGTCCAAAGCAGGTACTTCGCGTTCTTCTACAGAATCGCGACTCTTCTCGTGTTACCCTGAACGGGTAGCTTTCTGTTATTGGATGCATACTTCTGAGAACGGTGGACAGAGCTACCGGC